TCTATTGGATTGTATTATTGAACTGGATCTGAACAAACGTGAATGTGGTGTTATTAACAGAAATTCAGGTTAAAGGGGTGCACCCGGGAATTTAATTATAGAACTACTTCAAAGAGTGAAATACTCACTTTAAATTTGGAAAGCAAGCATTTCATGCTGATGTCATAGCCTGATTGTGATATCAATAATTGCCTTATTCATTGCTTGTTTTTTATTGTACTTTTTCATTTTTGGTACCAACAAATATTTTATTTTTATACATATCTTCAAATATAAGAAGCCGGCATTATCCTACATCTAATCCTTGGTCTCTGAGTCTCATTTTAAACACCTCACTTTTGCTCCAGCAGCCGAACCAACCGACTTAACCAACCAATCAGATCACGGCCCTACCCATAATCCTTCCTGTGTGCTACAGTTGTGGCGAGCCAGCCAGGAGCAATACTGAGTGTTTAACTGAGACATTATTGGTCCAATTTCCTACAATTGGTTACGTCCAACACTCTAAAGCCAGGTATCTTAGACCAAGTACAGCAACATGGATATAGTAATGCGTGAATCGATTAAAATCCCCAATTCTGTAGTTGTTAGTGGGATAACCGACACAGATATTGACGAAGTAGTATCCACTTTCCTTGAAAAACATGGTTCAATTAACCGCCACTTCCGCATAGATGCCCCAGAGTCAGACTTCCACCACCACGTGATAGTAGAGTTCACATATGGCACCGCCATGCTAACATTAGAGCCTCTGCTGCCACTCAAGCTTGAAAGTTCTGTTCAACCAGGTGCCAGTTATGAAGTACAGAGCTTGGCAAGTGTTTATGCATTAAATGCTCGCAACATTGCCACTAGAGCATACATGACCCAGCTGCAGGAAATTGCAAAATTGAGTGGAAATTCACTGGAACAAATGCTGAAAGAGGAATTGGCAAGCCTTGCTTCATCCACCATTCCTTTGCATGGTTGTCAGGACACCTCCTTTGAGCAGACACCACTTCCCCAAACGGAACCACTCACACAGGGTGATCTATTGTCTTCCCCAAGCCCACATCCTGCGAACTCTTCTGAACCTTCAGCCCTTGAATCACCTCTCGATCCACTGCAACCTTGCACTTCCTCGACCCTAAACAAAAACCTGATCGATTTCACTCCACTGCCAACTCCACCTGCTGCAGCAAATGGCACATTTCAGCCCACACTCGACCTTAACCCACCCAGTGTTCAGCGAGTGGTAGTTGAACATGTTGTGCGCAGCAGTGAAACCACATCACACTTCGCCATACCAAGTAGGCTTCGAGCTTTTTCAGGGAAAAGTCCCCGTCCCAACAACGAAGCAGACTATGACACATGGCGCACTAGTGTTGAAGTCCTCATGAAAGACCCAGCGATTTCTGACTTAAACTGCACACACCGCATCCTTGACAGCCTCCTTCCACCTGCAGCAGAGATGACTAAGCATTTAGGTCCACAGGCTAAACCTTCTGCTTATCTTGATATACTTGACTCTGCTTTTGGTGCAGTTGAAGATGGTGATGAACTTTATGCCAGGTTCCTGAGCACACTTCAGAATGAAGGAGAAAAGCCATCATCCTTTCTTCAGAGATTGCATGTGTGTCTGAGCATGACTATGAGGCGCGGAGGTGTTTCTGCGTCTGAGTTTGACAAGCAGCTTCTTAAACAATTCTGCCGCGGTTGCTGGGATAATGCCCTTATAGTTGACCTCCAACTACAGCAAAAGAAGGGGAGCCCGCCTTCCTTTGCAGAACTCCTGTTAATGTTAAGAACAGAGGAGGATAAACAGGCGGCAAAAGTTAGCCGTATGAGACAGCATTTGGGCACAGCCAAGCCTGCTCCTTGCGCCGCTAAGCAGCGTGTCATGTCTCATCTGCAAACAGTACATGCCACTGCTGAGTCTGAAATCGACATTTTAAAGAAACAAATAGCTGACATTACTGCTCAGGTCAGTAGTCTGAAACGTGATAACAACAAACAGGAACAACCTGCACGACAGAAAGCCAAGTCCCTTGCTGAGAGTGCTAAAGTCGAGGCCCGCCCTGTCAAAAAGAAAGTTTCTCAACATCAGAGTCCTGTTGCCAAGGTCCACAGCAAACCACGTCCATGGTACTGCTTCCAGTGTGGCGAGGATGGTCACATCGCTTCAGCTTGTGATAATGAGCCAAATCCTTCCCTTGTAGCTGCCAAGAAAAAACAGTTGAGAGAAAGGCAAGCTATCTGGGAGGCTTCTAATGTCCCTGAGGAAAAGCCTCATTTAAACTGATATCTGCTCCCATCGAGGGACACATGGGAGCCACACCTGACAAATCCTGTCCCAAACCTAAGAAGCCAGTCTTGAAGAGAGCTCAGCTCAGAGAGCACTCTGTTAAACTTCCACGAGGCCTCGTCGGAACAAAAACTACAGCTCAAGTTACTATTGCAGGGGAAACTGTTAACTGTATTTTGGATAGTGGGTCACAGGTGACTACTGTCCCCCAGTCCTTTTTTAAGCAGCATCTTTCAGAGCTGGCTATTCATCCACTGAATGATCTCCTTGACGTAGAGGGTGCTAACGGCCAACCAGTTCCCTACTTGGGATATATTGATCTTTCCATTACCTTTCCTAAAGACTTTGTAGGGTCTGAAATTGAAATCCACACACTGGCTTTGGTCATTCCCCACCTGCGCTCTGCAGCGCGGGAACAGGTGCTTATTGGCACCAACACTCTTGATGCGCTTTATGCTGATTTCATTACTGATCCTGCATGCTCTACTTTTCAGCCTTCATCAAATGGCTATCGAGCTGTTCTTAAAATCCTTGAAATGCGGCAGAAGACCTCAAACGGTGGTAACATTGGTTGGGCTAAGCTGCAAGGAAAGAGCCCTGAGGTTGTCCCTGCGCGGCAGTCAGTTGTTCTTGAAGGCTTGGTTAACATCTCCAGTGCTCACTCTGAGAAGTATGTCATCCTTGAGCAGCCGTCAGCCTCTTCCTTACCAGGTGGCCTATTGGTGTCGGCCAGCCTAATCAACCTGCCCATGAAACAACCCTGTAAATTGCCTGTTGTGTTGAAGAATGAGACTGACCATGACATTGTCATACCTCCTAAAACGGTATTGGCCGATGTTAATGCCATAGGGTGTGTCCTTCACAAAGAGCAAACGGTGAAAGAATCAACTCCACCTGAAACACAGAAAGATTCCCCTCAGTCTGAAAGTTTGAGCTTTAATTTTGGAGACTCTCCATTGCCCACTGAATGGAAGGAACGTGTGATAAACATGCTGAATTCTATGCCAGAAGTCTTTTCCCATCATGACCTGGATTTTGGGCACACAGATAAGGTCAAACACCACATCAAGCTCAATGATGAGACACCTTTTAAATACAGACCCCGACCAATACATCCCCATGACGTGGAGGCAGTAAGGAAACACCTTCAGGAGCTCCTCGACTCAGGAGTCATACGGGAATCAGAGTCCCCATTTGCTTCTCCCATCGTCGTTGTAAGGAAGAAGGATGGTTCTGTTCGTCTTTGTATAGACTTCAGAAAGCTAAACCTTCAGACCATCAAGGACGCGTATGCCCTCCCAAATCTAGAGGAGGCTTTTTCAGCCCTAGCAGGGTCGAAGTGGTTCTCCGTCCTTGATCTTAAGTCGGGGTATTACCAAATTGAAATGGAAGAATCTGACAAGCAGAAGACGGCATTTGTCTGTCCACTAGGATTCTGGGAATTCAACAGGATGCCCCAGGGAATCACAAATGCGCCGTCAACCTTCCAGCGACTTATGGAGAAGTGTATGGGGGAAATTAACCTGAAAGAGGTTTTAGTGTTCATTGACGACTTGATCATTTTCTCATCATCCTTGGAAGAACATGAGCAGCGCCTGAAGCGTGTACTGCAGCGTAAAGGAATACGGATTGAAGTTGGCTCCAGAAAAATGCAAATTCTTCCAGACCTCTGTAAGATACCTTGGCCATGTAGTGTCAGAGCAGGGTGTAGAAACAGACCCAGAGAAGATTGTGGCCCTAACGTCTTGGCCTGTCCCCACTAACCTGAAAGAACTTAGGTCCTTTCTAGGCTTTGCTGGATATTACAGAAGGTTTATCCAAGGGTACTCTCAGATCGTCAAGCCCCTCAACGAACTAACTTCTGGGTATCCACCACTTAGAAAGGGAAGCAAAAAGCCTCAAAAGAGTGCTAGCCAAGAGTACCACAACCCGAAAGAGCCTCTTGGTCAGAGGTGGACATCCCTTTGTCAGGAAGCATTTGATTTGATAATTCAAAAGTTAACTTCAGCTCCTGTCCTGGGTTTTGCCAACCCCCAGCTTCCTTACATCCTGCATACGGATGCCAGCACCATCGGTTTGGGAGCCGCGTTGTATCAGCTCCAGGATGGCCAAATGAGAGCAATAGCCTTTGCAAGCCGAGGACTTTCGAAAAGTGAAATGAAGTATCCTGCCCATAAGCTAGAGTTCTTGGCCCTCAAATGGGCAGTCACTGAGAAATTCTCTGACTACTTATATGGTACGGACTTCAAAGTGGTAACTGACAGCAATCCGCTGACTTACATCTTAACATCTGCAAAACTTGATGCAACGAGTTACAGGTGGCTGTCAGCACTTTCCACTTACTCTTTCCAACTCCAGTATCGAGCCGGCAAGCAAAACCTAGATGCCGACGCACTGTCTCGCCGCTCTCATGGAGCACCAGAGGATGATCCCACATCTAGAAAAGAAAGTGAGAGAATCCGACAGTTTGCACTTCATCACCTGAGCAATGTTGAACCTTCACACACTGTTCCTCTTGATGTAGTCCAAGCTATCTGTGACCGACACACTGTCCAAATTGCTGAAGACAGCAATGATAAATTCCCAAACCACAGGGTAGCTTTAGTTGAGTCCCTTTCTCATCATTCCATGGCTATCCCAGACAGCTTTCAGGAAGAGCAAATTGATGGGTTTCCTCTCATCCCATCTCTTTCTGAGGATGAGCTAAGAGAAAGCAGAGATCTGATCCTGCAATCAATGAGGTGATCATTCAAATGGAGACTGGTCAAACTCCACCTTCCCGTCTTAAGGTTGAACTGCCTGAACTCCCGTTGCTGTTGCGTGAGCTCAACCGGCTGGAGCTACACAATGGAGTGCTCTATCGAAGGAGACAAGATGGGCCCAATATCATCTTTCAGCTAGTGCTTCCTGAGGAGCTAAGATCAGTAGCACTAAAAAGCCTCCATGATGACATGGGCCACATGGGAGTTGAGCGGACTGTAGATCTAGCCAGAGCCAGATTTTATTGGCCAAAGATGTATATGGCTATTGAAAAGATGATTGGAACTTGTGAGCGTTGTGTACGCAGGAAGTCTCCACCTGAGAGAGCCGCACCACTGATGAATATAAAGACAAGTAGGCCTCTTGAATTGGTGTGTATGGATTTCTTGTCCTTGGAACCAGACCGATCCAACACAAAAGATATTTTGGTTATCACGGATCACTTCACTAAGTACGCTGTAGCTGTGCCAACACCCAACCAGCGAGCTCGCACCGTAGCAAAGAGTCTGTGGGAGAATTTCATAGGTCATTATGGCTTTCCAGAGCGACTACATAGCGACCAAGGCCCCGACTTTGAGTCAAAGACTATAAAAGAACTCTGTGAGCTCACTGGCACGAAGAAAGTGCGTACAACTCCATACCATCCGAGAGGAAATCCGGTTGAGAGATTCAATCGCACTCTCCTCCAAATGCTTGGTACACTAAGTCATCATGAAAAACAGCACTGGAAAGACTTTGTGAAACCTCTTGTCCATGCGTACAATTGTACGAAAAATGAAGTGACAGGATTCTCCCCCTATGAATTGATGTTTGGGAGACAACCAAGGCTTCCAATCGATCTAGCCTTTGGGTTGCCCATCAACACTGACAAGAAGTCACATTCTCAATATGTCAGTGACTTGAGGTTTCGCTTGGAAGAGAGCTACAAGATCGCTACTTCTAATGCACAGAAGAATGCAGATCGCAATAAAATGCGATTTGATAAACGGGTCGTCAATTCAACCCTGGAGGTGGGTGACAGAGTTCTTGTCCGCAATGTCAAGTTGCGCGGAAAGCACAAACTAGCGAATAAGTGGGAGGATGATGTGTACATTGTTGTCAAGAAAGCTGGTGACTTACCGGTCTACACAGTTAAGCCTGAAAGCAAAGATGGACCTGTGCGTACTGTACATCGCGACCTGCTCCTTGCTTGTGGCTTTCTGCCAGCAACAACTCTGACGGACGAGCCTCCCAAACAACCATCAGTCATGAGACGGAGGACAAGACAGAGTCCCATCAATGAGGGTGAGGAGGAGGAGTTTTCTGACTCAGAGGATATGCCTGCTTGGATATCTGTTCATCTTCCTACCCAAGAACCTGATGTGTTAATCACTGTTCATGAGACTCACGAGTTGAGCAATCCTTGTGAGACTACACAATGTAATGCACCTGATGTGTTTCCTACTCCTGTACCATCTGTGGTTAAATCCCTTGCAGAGGACAGTGACAAAGAATCCACACAGAACTTACCTGAACCTCCGGAGCCAGAGATTCAAGAGCCAGAACTTGTCAACTTACCTGAACCTGTGAACTCACCTTGTGGAGATATCCCACCTGAACATGACGATTTACCTGAATCTGACACCTTACCTGTTGATGATCCTCTGAACACATGTCAGCAGCCACCTGAGTTGTCGTCTCACATTAATGAGGAATTCCCTGTGTTGCCAGAAACAACATCCCCGGAAGAGGAGGGATCTGAAATGGCAAGCACTGTAACTGAACAGCCTAAACCAGCAGAAGCACAGAGTGACGGACCCCAAGTTGCTCAAACCCCTCTTCGTCGCTCTCATAGAACACATGGAAAGCCTGAGAGATTAAACTACACAAGATTAGGTAGCCCTTTATTGTTTGTGGCGAATGCCCTCTTCCAAGGTCTGAGTGAGGCGTTTGCAAGTTCCCTTCAGGGATTTGATTACTCAGACATACAGCCACAACCATCTTAGGCACTATAAACAAACTTGTGACTCCATCGTCACCCTGCATATGCACAGGGACGTGCATACCTTCAGAAGGGGAGGGTGTAACACAGATGAAATGATCTAGGTTTAAAAATAGGAAAAGCCTATAAAAATCTGAATGAGTGATTTTATTTTTGAAATGCAACTTTAGAGATTATCTAAGGATTTTAAAGGGTTAAAATTCAGTTACCAGGGCAAAATAGACCGACAGGTTAGTTTGGCCAATCGGCTGACAGCAGGTAGGCCCGCCCACCTGCTCCCGCGTCTCTGGGAGCGAGCGAAAGTTTTTTTTTCCCCGCTGCTGTGTGTGTGGAGAGACAGAAGTGCTGCTGTAGAGGGTGAAAACGGAGAAACCTGGAGAAAATACAGCTAAAAAACGAACTACACTGAGGCTAACTTCAACACTACAAACGTGGTAGTTAACTGCTGTGAGAGTTTAGTTGTAAGTTCAGTGTTTAGATATAGCGCTTGAGACGACTACTAGCAGCGTCGGTAGCTTTGATGTCCGTAGGATTTCCCGCGACGCGCAGTCTTTGCTGATTCAAGAGCGAGGTAATTCATTTAAAACTGCTTTTGTTCATTCTTTATCACCTTACTGTGAAAGCTAATTTATTTTGCACTGAGAGAAAGTACTGAAAGTCGCATACGGTCTCGTATGTTTCGGTTTTAGAAGACCTTGTGGCTTTACTGGGCGCCGCCATTTTGGGTGTGTGTCCAGCCGCTCTGGTGAAATCGGTGAGAATGTTCACTTACTTTGCACCTTAAATTATTTATGTGCACTTAGTGAATATGAAGCTACAGTTTTAGTTGAACAAGCTGGTTTACTGTGTTGTTTAATGTGTAAACTCAGCTTACTTTATTTTGCACTTGCATCAAAACTTTAATTGTTCTAATGTGCAGCTTATCTGGTTGTGTGCAGCCAAGTTATTTATGTTTATATGCTGAATTTTGAGAGAGAGGCACAGAAAGTAAACACCCACAGTATGTATGTCATTGTGTATTGTGAATTTCATGTAGTGTATATTATTGCATGAGACTTAAGCAGTGAATATTTCTCTGACCCTGTCTGTTGACAGGTCAGGTTTTTTTTGTGTGCGTGCTTCTTTTTCCATTGTCTGGATTGGATCTGCGGATGAAAATTGATGGCGAGCCTCCCTCTTGAATGATCGTGGGAGCCATTCCCTCTTCAGGATCACTGGACCTGTCCCGCTACTACTGCACTTTGCGGTGTGGTAGGCCCCACTACAACACAAAACCCCTTCACTCACCTTCACACTCCTTCCCCCACACACATCCATACACCAACCCTATGGAACTCTGAACTCTGACTTACCTTCGACAAATCCATTTTTTGTTTGGACTTTGGACTCACTTAAACAAACTCACCTGTTCACACCTTGGGACTGAGAATTTGGAGCTGAGTAGTAGGAATCATTCCTGCAATTAAGGGTTACTGTTGTACTGTGTGAATTCCATTGGATTGTATTATTGAACTGGATCTGAACAAACTTGAATGTGGTGTTATTAACAGAAATTCAGGTTAAAGGGTGCACCCGGGAATTTAATTATAGAACTACTTCAAAGAGTGAAATACTCACTTTAAATTTGGAAAGCAAGCATTTCATGCTGATGTCATAGCCTGATTGTGATATCAATAATTGCCTTATTCATTGCTTGTTTTATTATTGTACTTTTTCATTTTTGGTACCAACAAATATTTTTATTTTTATACATATCTTCAAATATAAGAAGCCGGCATTATCCTACATCTAATCCTTGGTCTCTGAGTCTCATTTTAAACACCTCACTTTTGCTCCAGCAGCCGAACCAACCGACTTAACCAACCAATCAGATCACGGCCCTACCCATAATCCTTCCTGTGTGCTACACACCCACAGCGTGGGCACCTCCTACGTCCACGCCTTGTATTTAACGGTGAGACCTGGCCTTCGGCTCCCTTTTTTCTTCCATGTTTACTTTATGTTGACGGCTAACCTGCTCCAGAACAGCTTTCGTTCCAGATAAGAGATCATCGCTATAAAAGTACCACCTACTAACCTATCAAATTTCTTGGAAAATGTTGGCACAATCCGCAGAAGATCCCACAGACCGTTTTATAAGCTAGTTGTAATCAACTGGATGTGCAGGCTTTCTTTTTCTTTTGCTCGCTTTGTTAGTCTTTTGTGTAGTTTAAGCCTAGTTCACACTACGCAATTTTCAGCCTGATTTGCCGGTCGGGGAGCTCGGTGACCGTCAGGCTGTGAACAGGAGTCTGCGGTTGCCAGTCGTTATGTGTGAACTACTCAACGAAGCATCAGAACATCTCCCCGAGGCAGGCAGCTACTTTTTCACTGCAAAACATTTTACTCACCTCCAGCTCTCTCTGTAGCTCGATAATCCCTGCTACCTGAGTGTGCTAATCCATTCTTTCACCCAGATTCTTTTTCTTTATAACTGCTATCTTTATAATAACAAACAACAGCTGTTTGTGTGTTGGTAGCTCATTTCAAGTTTCACATTTCACACGTGTTTTCTTCAAAAAATGTGGTTTGGAGACAAGTGTCAGGTGACAGAGTCGTTGTCAGCTCCTGTAGTGTGTGACCCCCTGACACCAATCAGTCACCTAGTGTGAACGCCACGACTTCAGACTCCCGTCACAAGATGGCAAGTTGTGACCTGCCAACGCTGAAAGTTGTGTAGTATGCACAGCCTTTAGTGACTTTTTTAAGCCGACTCCTTACTCATTTTCTACTTCTCACTGTCGTCTTTTTGGAGAAGGTCTACGACTTATAACTAAAGGAAAAGGTATTCTTGGAGATCTTTCAATTCAGTTGACTTTCCACAAACTGATCAAATCTGTAATCTTTTCTACAACTCACAGTGGTCAGTAAACTATTTCACTCCTCTCTTATTCAAATACCAAAGCGCCTCCCAAGCTGTCCTGCTTGTTCTGATTATATGCGTGTGGATGAGCTGATTAGGATGAGGAGCGATCTGATACAATTTTATAATATTTTTATACAACAGTTATTTCAAATAAAAAATGCATTACTTTGCTTGTACATAATAAATCATAGGCTACTATTCAACTACTATGGCTTCAATAGGTAGCATTTTACGCACAGTATCGAATGAAGTACTCTATTGGTATTGGTATCACTTCAAGGGTACTGGTTTTGGTACTAGTATCGTAAAATTTCAAACAATACCCAGCCCTAGTACAGCATCACACAATTGATTGGTCAATGCTCTATAGAGCTTGGCAATGTTATGTCAAACCACAGTGCGCCGCGGTAGCTGATGGTAGTGCTGCCATATTGTGATACCATCGCCGTACCGGTGTTGATCTGGCAGATGCGAATCAGCACCGCTAATATATAAATATACAGTGACATTTCAATTTTAAAGTCGTGGGAAGAACTTGTGATGTTGGTTGTAATGTCCGTTCACATGACTGACGAGCTAAGAAATTAGACAATGGATTGTCTTTCTTTAGCTTTCCTGCCTGGAGGCAGAATCAAGGAAGCTATGTGTCTGATGTGACAAAGAGACACCAGCTGTCTTGAAAATCAGCCGTAAGACAGACAGACAGACATCAAGTTTAACAGCATCCTAAGATCATTAAAAGTCAGAAATCTTTATTCAGATGAGTGTCAAAGAATTAAATAAATTTAACATTACTCAACACTGTCTGTTGTCTGGAGTGTTTCCCAAAAACAGACTTTACTTGGGCGACCCGCCCAGGTATATGAACGGCTGCCCAGATAATGTAAAATTTGGCAACCCATTTTAACATTTTTCAGAGAGATACACATGTTATCTATTATGTTACAAGATGTGGACACCGATATTTTTCAAGCATGGACCAGGTAGAGAGAGAGGGAGAGATAGAAAAAAGGGGCAGGCCACTCCGGTGTGTTTGCAGTAAGACGTGTGGTGTGTGCTAGAGACCAGGACTGATTTCTTGATTCCACTCCTGCTGATTTTATGACCATTACTGCCCATTCCCGCAACATGTGTATCCACTCCTGCCCGCGCCCGCAAACATTGTAACATGCAGAGTAAAAAAGGGACACAAATGTTGGGGCTATGCTAAATGTTCAGAAAAGCCGACATAAATCACTGCATTCGTTTATGTCGGTAAGAACTGAGAAGTTTTCCAAATTTCAGACTTGCCTTGCTTTGGTCTTGTATTGTATAAGCCCGTGTGATGGAAGCCAGCGAGGCAGTGCATTAAGTAAACCTCACTCCCCCTCACTCCCAACACCTTAAGACATGCACTGGCGACCAACAGCAGTGGCTACAGGCTGTAGCTTCCTCGTCAGCGTGTCCGCCTCCCATACCCGCCGTCGCCGGTTCGAGTCAGGCCCTTGCTGTACATTCTCGGGAGCAGCCTCATTCGCTCACTTTAATCTTCTATTTAACTTAGTTTGTTGACTCCATCTTATCAGACATCCTGAAGTGCGTGCTACCGAGTCGGAACAGTATTCTCGACAATTATAACAACAAAAAGTGACCGTTCCAGTAGCAGGAGACGACCATGAATCCTAAATGCAATGAGAAACCATTGCAGAAGATGAGGAAGAAATAAAGGTGGGAGCAGCACAAGAAAAGGAAGGTGATGACCAGGCAGAGGCAAAAGTGGCAGCAGATGCAGGAGATGGTGACCAGGCAGAGGTGGGGAGCTGTAGAAGATGAATGTGTAGAATGGTCAGATGTGGAAGCAGCAGAGGATGAGGAGTGGAAACCAGGCAGAAGATGAACCAACAGCTAAGAGACAAAGAACAGTGTCAGTTCTGTCAGCACAACAGTGCAGAGATCAACCGTTTGTTGCGGGAGAACAGGGAGTTTAGGTGTGAGCTGAACAAGAGAAAAATGGATGAGGACTTCTTAAAGGGTAACACAAATAAGGTCAGGTACCACAAAGGAATTCCATGCTTTACCATTTTGTCATTGTTCACCAGTGTTAGGGTTTCCTACCAGTTACAAAAAAGTCCTTTAAAATGGTTTGTTGACATTCATACGTCTGAGGCTTGATCCTCCTGTACAGCACCTTGCCTGTCTCTGTCATGTTTCACGTACAACTTTCCACTGCCTTTACTGACACCATAGATGTTTTGAATGCACGGCTTAATCCATCCAGGTACACACACCGTGAAACCTCATTGCGATTTCACCACAAGGTGCCATATCATTTATTTCCAAGGGATGGCGTGACCTTGCCTCTGACAGGCACATAACTGTGAACTGTGGCCTTCTTAACAAACTGTTACGTGGTGACATAGTGCTAGCTGATTGAGGCTTTGATATCAAGGATAGTGTGTGCAGAGGTCAAAATTCCTGCGTTCACTAAAGGAAGATGTCAAGTCGATGCTTAGGATGTGGAAAACACAAGCGATAACACACCTGAGGATTAATATTGAAAGGGAGATTGGCAGTATGCGCAACAAGTACACAATGTTATATAAGAGAATATCAATTAGTTTGTTACTACCATGTGAGGGGGAGAAGATGACACTTCTTAATAAGATGGTGAATGTTTGTTGTGTACTTCTGAACATGTGTCCCAGTGTGGTTGTAAAACCAGATAAAAATGAAATATGTGCATGTTAAAATTGTGTTTCACATTACTGTTGTAGACGTTTATATTAGTTTTTTTTATGACATGTTTGTTTACTTAAATACTCCTATTGGAAACAGATGACACACTATGAATTTGTAGAAACTGGTTTAATAAAAATTAAATTTGCAAGTACAAAAACAACAGTCTTTTGGGGGTGGAAATTTAGCTGAATCTTTCCAGCGATGGATGTAAACATCTTCAGAAACTGCAATAAAAAAGATTGCAATGTATAAACCACATCTATATACAATATCACTGTATAAAAAGTTGTTGCAGTGTAGCAAATCTGAATTTAAGTATAAATTGTAAACATCTTAAAGAAGCAACAAAGAAGTACAACAAATATGAATACAAGAAGTAACAATAGGGCTGTTGAGAATTAACTATAGATCTATTATATACAGTGCAATCATGTTGAGAATAAACTTCATATATCTATTGGTAACACTTTACAGTAAGGGTACATGAATTATCGTGAATTCATGCATTACTTCATGCTTTTATATCTCGAATCATCAGGAACAAGCAGGAGTTCAGTCTTTCATGGATGAACAACACATTAATTAAAACATTAACTAAGATGAGTGTATGATCATGAATTATGATTTATTAAGCATGATCATGTTGTTTGTTCTTGAAACAAACCGGCCTTAACTATCCATCGTGGGTACAGTTAAAGTTATTGTACATGAGTCATCATGAATTCCTACAGGAAAAAGCATGAATTCATGCATGTAAGACTCTAAGACTCTCTATTAAGAATATAAGAGGGAAAGTGAAGGTTAAACATAGGTCTACAGTTTGTTAAAACCCCTGGATCAAAAGTGGGCTTTTTAAGAAGTGGTTTAGTTACAGCTACTTTAAAGGACTGTGGTACATAGCCTGTTAGTAAAGACAGGTCTATAATGTCTAATAAACAGGTACTGACTAATGGCGTCCTGCTGCCCCCATGTTCCTGCTCGACCCCTGCTGCTACAATTATTATTAGTGCCACTACATTACTTTACACTTACTGTATTATTATATGTTTAAATAGAGGCAGGTAAGTAAACATGGCAATGTAAGAAGAGAACCATCATCGTAGGACTGAAGATCCAGGGTTAAACCTGACGTTACTTTGCAATCATGCTTCACAGCTCAGACCCCAGGT